CAGTATCCGCCACCACGTATGTGTATAAAATTAGTTGTTTGACATTGGGGTTATTAAGTACAATTTCGGTCAGGGTCCCTTTGAGATCGCTTGGGTTTGAGTATCAAATTTGAGTCGTCATTTGTTTATCTGCAAAGGCCCTCGTGAGCATCAGTTATTGCTATTGAAGCGCCGTAAAAAAATAAAAAAGACGTTTTCTCGTTACATTATGGCACCTTAGGAATGAAAATCATTTCATTTAGACGTGTTTCAAATAAGGATATTATATCAAATTTGCACCTAATGAATTCTTGCATAATTAGATACCAATCATCATTATTGTATATTAAATAAAACTTATCTCTATTGCCATTTACATTTAATGAATCTTCTATTCAAAGACAGAGAAATTACATATATATATATATATATATATATATATATATATATATATATATATATATATAAACGTATTCATTTATGGGGTTTCGTTTATTTGATGTTTAATAGAATAAAAAAAATGGAAAATATTCATTACTTTTATGACAGAGCCATCTTAGCGTTTGTCTACGTTTCTGCGCGTATAAAATTTGTAAACAATTAGAAGCGATAAATCCTGTTCATATCAGCTTGGACGCCTCGGCTTTACAGATACAAATTTAAGAAGGTTATTATTTTATTTTATTTTATTTTTCAGGTTTCTTGATTTCCCAAGCAGATTTAATTAAAATTCATAGCAATAAATAGATTTATAACAAGAAGAACAAGAACAAAAACGCTTTCTCTTATCTATAAACTGCCTGAAACTGAGGGAATAGCCGAAATCTTGCCAATTAAATTAATTACTTATTAAGTAATTAAAATCAAACCGGGTGATGTACGTAGATACTTTATATTTAGAACGGAATATTGTAAAAGCCTTATTTAGTGATAAATAAGATGTATTTACGCCCTCCAAAATATTCTCATTTTCCAATACACACACATAGACACACATGCGCTCGCATACACACACACACACACATATATATATATATATATATATATATATATATATATATATATATATATATATATATATATATATATAATATAATATAAACATATATATATATATATATAACTTTTGCGTATACTTGATGAGGTCCGTAAAAACGTGTGAATTTCTTTTCATTTTTCATTTCAGCTTTTGGAAGTAAAATCTGATGAACCAGAACCCTGTTAAAGGGGTTATGGTGAAATAGCTTATTACATGGAATCTTAACGTGGTCTGTCTTTTATTCAAAAAATATATCTCTATATATATATATATATATATATATATATATATATCCACCGGGAGTGTTGAAACAAAATGGCTATTTTTGTAGTGATTTTATAACATGTTTCTGTTATAAATTTTAAAATGAATAATTATATATATATATATATATATATATATATATGTGTGTGTGTGTGTGTGTGTGTGTGTGTGTGTATGTGCGCACGCGTGTGTGTGTGTATGTAACTGATTAACTAAAGACGCGGTGACCGTCTGTTTCATGATTAAATATTGAGTTTTCAATATATATATATATATATATGTGTGTGTGTGTGTGTGTGTGTGTGTGTGTGTGTGTGTGTGTGTGTATGTGCGTGTGTGTGTATGTGTGTGTGTGTGTATAATACATGTAAAAGTTTTGTCACTTTGCTGATTGGTGCTAATTCCAGTATCCCAACTCCAGAGTTTCGGAAATTACTCCCTCCACTCCTCAGGAGTGTATCCGCAATTGACTCCTTGTATACATATATATATATATATATATATATATATATATATATATATATATATATATATATATGAAGAAATATAGTTTTATGGTGCGCTATATTTATGGGATAAAATGCTCAATATCAGAGATAGAGCGTATGCAAATATAAATATAAAAATGAACATTGAAATCAACTCTCAGAGGGAGAGTCAGTGGTGCATTGTGCATATCCAAATAAATAAATTAATTAAAAACTGTCCACCCGCCAAAATAACAGAATAGACTACGGCAAACAATCTAAACATTGGACGAATAAAAAGCTTTATCTTCCCAGACCAAAACAAACTATTAAATAAGCGGCCTAAGCAAATCCCCACCCCAAATTTTTACAACGTTAATAAAACATCAAAAAACGAAAAGAATAAATAATACAAAATGAAATACAATACAAATTAACCCAAACAAATGAATAAGGAAGTCAGTCCCGCAAAAATAACGGCCAGAATAGATTACCCACAATACACCACTGACCTATATATATAAATAGTCGAGAAAAAATCCAACATTCGCCGCCTGACGATTGCGTCTAGCATGAAGCAGCCTGTCGCCTCTAAGCGTTGACTTCAATGTTCACTTACATATATATATATTAATTGAAACAGTGAAATTAATATCAACCGTTTTAGAGATCGATTGCCCTTACTAAGGAAAATGTTCATTGATAGGAATGGGCACTCAATTCGTTTTTCTTTCAATAAATCCACTTTTTAATCAAGTGTACCTTACCAATTAGGTCACGGGAAAGTATTGACGTAAAACAAGATTTAATTATCTATTTAAGAATTGCACATCTCGAGAGGGGATATATTTGTTTGATAGTTTTGAGTGTCCTAATTGGTAATGAATACACACACATACACACACACACACACACACTCACACTCTCACACACACACATTTATATATATATATATATATATATATATATATATATATATATATATATATAAAATCGACTTCCTCTATTTTGTCTTGTATCTGGACCTTAAGATCAAACTGAGGAAGTCAGAACAGAAATGTATTTCTCTAAAAAATAATAGTCTTCTAAACTATTATTTAACAATGTAGCTATGGAATCTTTTGCAAAACAAGGGTCCCAAAATAATGGATCTCGTCGGAAATTGGTCGCATGCAAAATGGCATTAAAGGTTTCTTATATGCATTTCAGCACGTTGCCGCTACACTAGAAAGAAATTATGTTAATTTTTTAAATGAAATATATATATATATATATATATATATATATGCCAACAAATACATGTAAGGTTTGTATATATTTATAGTTAAAAAAATGACTTAAACCTAATAATTTTATATTCAGTTCTATTTCGTTTTAGATATTTTAAATAAATTATAAAGCAAAAGTTAATAGGTTCAATGTTAATATTTTAGGCGTAAGCGAAACGAAGTTGGCAGACAATGGATATTTCGTCTGTGACAAACACAGGGACATATATGCAGGCGAAAAGAAAAATGAGAGTGAAGTCAGAATGATATTAGACCAAGACATGAGAAATGTGTTCTGGAATGATATTAAAGAATTCTCATAGTTAAACTGAAAGGGATGCATTTCAGCATGTCCATCATTATTGTATATGCACCATCAGCGCAAAGGGTTTTTCTGTACGCAAGGTTTAATGCAAATCGCAGGAAATTAGAAACGTCAGATTGTAATGCTAAATTAGGCAAAGATGGTGAAATATTTGGCAAATTTGGCCTAGCACTTCTTAATGAACTTGGAGAAAAATGATCCAATGGTGCATGGCGAATGATCAGATAGTAGCCAACACCTGGTTTCAAGAACAACAAAGACATATATATAGACATAAAAGAGAAACCAAAAGTTGACTATATAACTATCAATAAGCAATTCAAAAATGCTGCTTTACACTGCAAAATATACTCAAGTGCTGCCTGTTCCAATGTTATGTAAAGCGACAGAGAAACAACTAAAATTGATGAGAATCAATCTTTTCCTGAATGACCCGACTGTGAAGCAGAAATATATGGACAACGTTAAAGACAAACACAAGGAACACATTAAGAAAAGCCATAGTAACGTCAGCAATCGGTACAATCCCAAAGAAAACTAGAGAAAGAATAAAGGAAATGATGACAGACGAAATTCACGACATGAGGAAAAGGAGACAAACAACAATGCCAAGATATGGCACAGAATATAGGACAAAATTAGGAACAAAATCAGCCAGCCTGACATGCATTAGCACAGGGAAAAGTGTTCAGAGATAGAAAAAAAAGAATATCACAGATAAAGCAGATATGCATGAAAACCAAGAAAACTAACAGAACAAAAGACATGCACGTCAGGGCGGAATGCTTATATTAGAGATAAACAATACTTCCGTGATAGAACGACTACATCAACGAAAACTTTCACAAGAGAATAACTGGCAAAACACAGGGCCAGAAATATTAAAATCTGAAGTGAAATCAGCAAAATCAGTTTAATGAGTTATGTAACAAAACTTATCATCCAATGCAAAATTAGACCGGAAATAGGACAAGAAGAGTGCGGGTTCGTTAAAGACACTGAAACAAGGAATGTAATATTTATGCTCATGATATCAGAGAGAGCAATACAGATGCAAAAGAATTTATACCTATGTTTATAGATTATGCAAAAGCCTTTAGTAATGTACGTCACAAAGAATTATTGGAACTGTAAGGTAACCGAAATATGAAGGTACATTGCGATAGCGAAAGATGCCTTCCAAAAACTAAGCAATGTATTAAGAAACAAGAAGATTTCGTTAGAAACAAAGGAAAGAGTAGGGAATGTTATGTTATATCAGTCCTCCTCTATGGCAGTGAATGCTGGACCATCTCCTCATAGATGAAGAAGAGACTTGAGGCGATAAAAATATGGTTCCATGGAAAGATACCGAGAATGCTATGTACTAAATTGGTGAGCAACGACAATATTTAGAGAAAATGGAAACAAAAAGGACATTTATATGTAGCACCAGAAAGAGACAGTTGAAATTTCTAAGGAAAGACGGCTTAGAAAATTTGATACTCACAGTACAGATTGAAGGCAAGACGTTCAGAGAAAAACAACACATGATGTACCTAGCGAGCTTTTGGTATATGGATGGAAGACCAAGATTTAGGAGAGATAACAAACGAAAATTACTAAGAACTACAACTGACAGGATGTTGTGGAGATCCATGATCGCCAACGTCCTAAAGGAACAAGGTTCATAGAAGAAGAAAGAAACAATTTATCTATCTATCTATCTATCTATCTATCTATCTATCTATCTATCTATCTATCTGTCTCATTCCTTTCGTATTTTCGTATTCGTTTTACGAAGGGAAGCTAACTATAATTATGCATCGTTGTATATTCATTATCAATTCAAAGAATTTTCGCATTATAAGATTCGAAATCACTTCTCTAATGTTACTTTGATAATAGCCTTTTAACAAATTGGAAATTAATTACGCTTATCTTTACATTCTAGTTAAGAAAGTCGTTTAACTTTTTGACTTGCTTTATTGTTCCCTCTTCTATTCACTGAATTGATATCTTCCTGTGATTCTGTTTCTTTCTTTCTTTCTTTCTTTCTTTCTTTCTTTCTTTCGTACTCTTTTTCTTTCTTTTTAGTTTCTTTCTTTCGTACTGTTCTCTTTCCATCTTTTTTACTTTTTTTTCTTTTCTTTTCTTTTCTTCCTTACTTTTTTCTTTCTTTTTTTTACTTATTCTTTTTCTTTCGTACTGCTTTTCTTTCTTTTTTGTTTGTTTCTTTTCCCTTTTTTTATTTGTTCATTCTTTCTTTCTTTTTATCACACGTTATCTTCCTATATTTTCCTTCTTTCTTTTTGTCTTTTTCTATTTGTTTCTCCCGTTGTTACTTCTTTACTTTATTCGGTCTCTCTCTCTCTCTCTATCTCTCTCTCCCTTCTCTCTCTCTCCCTTTCTTTCTTTCTTTCTTTCTTTTATTTTCCAATTTTAAATGCTCATCGAATGACCAGTAAAACAACAACTGCCAAATTCTCTCATTGTCTCTCCCCCCTCTCTCTCCCTCTAACTCTCTCCCTCTCTCCCCCTCTCTCTTTCTCTCTCTCTCTCTCTCTATCTTTCTTTCTTTCTTTCTTTCTTTCTTTCTTTTATTTTCCAATTTTAAATGCTCATCGAATGACCAGTAAAAACAACTGCCAAATTCTCTGATTGTCTCTCTCTCCCTCTCTCTCTCTCCATCTCCCCCTCTCTATCTCCCCTCTCTCTCTCTCTCTCTCTCTCTCTCTCTCTCTCTCTCTCTCTCTTATATTGCGTTTCGCGTTAAATTTCATACCAGCTCAAGTCACTAAAATAACAATGTCGGTTTTCATTTTAATTGGTGCCGAAAAGATTTCTAATTTTTTCAGAAAAATGCATTTTACGTGGCAATGTAAAGCCTCTACCTTTAAATGAATCTCGTAAACAAATAAAAGAGATATTGCATCTGCAAATGACGCATCTCCTGATTACATCCTTTTTTAGATATTTATCATTAATTATCCTCTTCTTGCTGAAATTAATCCATTAAGTAGTGATCTATGTTACAAATTCTGCTAAATTGGTCCAAGGAAGTTGCAAAGAACGTTGAAAAGCCGACGCATTTTTATATGTCCAATTATTTTAAATAGATGCACAGGATTCCCAAGGAATAATTAATTTTCTTTTTCTCTTTAAGCTATTTCCACTAAATGCTCAATTAATGACAATTTCTTACAACTTAAGTAAGTGGCATTAAGCTAATTATGCTCAGAATCGTGCATTGTTTAAGTTTATTTCGCTGAACGCAATAAAGAAATCACATTAGATGAATTAGAAAAAAAAATCTAAGCTCATTGAGTGTAGTGTCAAGTTAAACAAAATAACTATTTAATTGAGCGATCGTTTATTGTGTTTTTTTTTTTTTTTATAAAATCAGCAAATATATATTTTGGAATAATACAAGTAGATGGTAGATAGGGTTCCCATTCTTCCCTTTGACCAGCTGAAGTGGTTCGTGGGCCTTGAATAGATAAACAATATTGAAAAAAATGCCAGTCTTTAGCTTTTTCTGTTTATGTTCCGTCCACATTTAACAGGAGTAGATAACTTCATCTATCGTCCGGTTCACACTCCTCTCTGAACTTTTGATCAGGAATAGATGCTTATCTCTTATTGTTTCCTGTTTAGGTTTGTGTTTAGTGTTCTCTCTAAAGTTTACTTCATCACTGTACGTCTAACATCTCCAGCTAAACTATAAAATTGTATTTACTGTTCATTTATTTTAAAATTTTATTTAATATTTATTTATTTATTTTCCTCAATAGGAATAGATAAGTTTGCCTATCGTCCTGTTCACCTCCGCCCCCCCCCGGTCTTCTGAACTGGAGTAGAAGTTTATCCCTTGTTTTCTGTTTAGGATTGGGCTTCTGGTTTCTTCTACAGCCTACTTCAGACTTATCCTTCTAACATCTCCGTTTACACTTCAAAATTGTATTTACTAATTGCTTTTCAATAGTAGTAGATAAGTTTACATATCACCTAGTGTACACTACTTCTCCATCTTTTGAACAGGAGTTCATCCCTTGTTTTCTGTTTAGGATTGGATTTTCGGTTCCTTCTATAGACTTTTCATTCTCTTTCACTTCTTTGACTTGCGTCTTAGTGTCATTATCGCCTTGCCCAGAGCGAATTGATTTAAAAAATATTAATTTATATACAAATGTTTGTGTCCTCTTTATTTTATATAAAAACCAAAAAAAAAAAATTTAAAAAATATTAAACGCTTTTTAGCTAGTACAGTGGTAACTAACATGGTTGGTAGTTTGCCCTTGGAGATGCTATAAACTCACAGATACGGTATAGTCACCATCACTTTGAGAGAACTTTAAATTGAGATTTTAAACAGTCACAACGTTTTATATACGCATTTGTTTATCGTTTTAGCTCTGCATTCACATTTTAGGCGTATTTTAAACACTTTTATTCGTCTTTATTTTTAATCAATTTGTCCAGAGCAAGGCGTTAATGCCACTAGGACGCAAGGGGTTATTGTGAATGAAAAAGAATGAAAAACTAGTTTAGAATGAAAAGAAACCCAAACCAAGACATGAAACAAGGGATAAACTTCTCCTCCTGCTCAAAAGACCGGGGAGGAGTGTGAACTGAACGATAGACAAACCTATCTACTCCTATTGAAGAAAAAAATAAATAGTATATAGAGTTTCATAGTTTAGGCTGAGATATTAGAATCAAAGAGTTGAAGTAGACTTTAGGAGAAACTGGTTAATCTTATCCTAAACATGAAACAAGGGATAAACCTCTACTCCTGTTCAAAAACAGGAGAGAAATGTGAACCAGACAATAGGTTGATCTATCTACTATAAAATGCGTGAGGTGCAAAAACAGAGAAATGACAAAGACCGGCACCTTTTTTATGTTTACTATTGTTTACCCAATGCAATGCTCAAGAGCCACTCAAGATAGAGCATTACCGAATTAAGTTATTGTTTGGGCGTAAAGAGAAGAAGCAAAAGATGCCTATTATGAAGATATGTCGGATAGATAAATGTTGACTTTAGTGTTGAAGTGGTTACGAGTCTAGTGATCGTGGAGGCGGTCTCTCGTGGATCTGTTCCACAAAGTAGCGATACTTGAGAAAGTATTTGTCCAAATAGAATCCGAAGGGAACAGATGTAATGCGATTTTTGTACGTTGATTGGCAGATCATAGATGTAAAGGCCCCTCGCTTGACTGTTATCTCGTCCCCCAGAGTTTAATTTACGACGATTCTTGCTGTTAAGACTTAACAAATACATAAGAATATAGTGTTAACTATGTAATATAGTGTACCACCCGGACAAATATTTGGAAAAAAAGCGCTGGAGAATAAAAGACTAAGAACCATTGTACTCATAATTCGAAAACTCCATTTAATGGGATTATTTATTACGGTTACATTCTTCAGTATAATCACGGCACTACCTAGTGAGCTGTGGGTCCTGCAAACCCTTCACTTCACAGAAGACTAAATTTGTCTTGGCTTCAATCTATGACAATGCTACTTAGCTGAGGGATATCATATTGCTAAAATCATTATTGCCATTCACTTTTAAAATAAATAATAAAAGTACGTCTTCATTCTTGTGACAAAAACATTAGTTGCAAGACCATTATATAATTTTTGCGCGAAAAACATTTATAGTTTTATAAGATAATTTTGTGTTCATAAACACTTTCCTTCTTTTTAAAGTTCTGCAATTTCCCCAATGTATTGTGAGGAGCGGCTATGACAGTTTATTTTGAATAGACTTGCTTCAGAACTATTATATTTACAGATATTTACGATCTCATACGCAACAATTCATTAAATGCATTAGTCATAGGTAAATAAATTGAACTACAACTTTGATCTAAAGAATGGCATTTATTAAAAGAGAAACTATCTCACAGAGACGGAAAATTCTCGAGTGTGTCGCTATCGAATATTACCAAAACATAAATCTGCTTTCCGAATATTTCAAAATTTCAATATCTCCTTTCCTGAAAGATTTAATCCTTTTCCAAGATAACATATGTAACTACACAAATATTCAAAAATTGAAAGAAAACAGTTGAATTCATAATCTTCTTTTATTTAAAATTGATAATACATAAATCAAACCCAAACTAAAATAATATAAATATATAATTACATTATGAAAAAAAAATCATTTAATGACTTTTATTTATTAAATTACGTCACTTAGCATCTCCCATAATATATTTAGTCTTTTCAGTTAGCGTAATGAAGATTTACGAATGTTTCTTAAATTAAGAATTTTTGCAAAACTAACAATTTTTTTTTTTTTTTATAGATACTTGTTTCAAAATAAAACTCTTACATTTGCCTTGATGAAGTCCATCTGAGGTCGAATCGCAACGGCTAAGATAAGTTTTCATTTGTTTCTAATCATATATATATATATATATATATATATATATATATATATATATATATGGAATGAGTCCCAAAATAGAAAGAAACGGTCGTCCAGTGCTTTCTGCATTCTGTTGAAGATTCTTCTAGACTTGATGAGTTACAATAAGGATTTGCCTAAATCGCCCAAATTCTATTACTTGTATATCCTTGCGTGACCCAGCTAAGGCTCTGCGATGAGGCGGTTCGGGGGAAAAGAAAGACGGGCAACAATACGTTGAGTTATAAATATTTGGATGAGTATCCTCACAGAATTTGTGACTAGCGGTGCTATGTCAAGTCTATTCAGTTTCTTCTTCGTCACCGAGGTTCGTATGACGCTTGCGTTGTAACGAAACGGCCCGGGTTCGAATCTCAGTAGTGGATGCACACTGCTGACGAGTCCCAAAATAGGACTTTTAGCATTCTGTAAAGGAGTCTTCTTGACTCGATAAATTACTCAATGTTGTAGCATGATATGGAAGATAATGGGTATGTCCCCCATTCACATAAAATACAGTAAATACTGTATGTTGGTCTGCAGTTCATTGTGGAATTCACTTGACTTTACTTCTACGCGCCGCTGGCGAATCTTATATGCATTGTTTGTGTCCTAAGTATTATCGTTCATTACCAACCTTCGCGCGATTATTCTATTCAGCAACCTTCCCGAGGTTACAACACTCTAATAATTTGCCTAAATCACCAAACTTCTATTATATATATATATATATATATATATATATATATATATATATATATATATATATATATATATATATACGATAAACGTGCAATCAATTTATTATTCTATACTTGAAGATGTCTGTAGGAACAGACGAAAGCTTGTAGTAAAAATAAGAACTAATACGGCAGAAATTTATATAAACAAGGATCAATTCATTCATAACGGATTCGGAGGTTTTTGTATATTATTTGAATTGTTTGCGATGATGGATGTCTCGCCATTTAAATCATTAACCTTTGCATTAGTTTTTGTGTGAATAATTCATGAATATATATATATATATATATATATATATATATATATATATATATATATATATATATATGTATGTATGTATGTTTGAAATGAAAGACTAATGAAAGAAATGTCTAAAAACACGAAGATATAATATTTATTGTATATTATTAGTTTATTAAAGAAAACAAAAGCAGGATGACAAAAATGATGAAAGGCGTTGCGTAGCAAATACTTCAAAAGTACGAAAAAAGC